TTGTGGTGGCTGTAGTTTCTCCTTTATAATGAATAAACCTTCTCTGTGTACAACTGTCCTCAGTGGTCCTGGTTATTGAGCCGCTACTAACCCTCATCTCCAGCTCTGCTTCAGTCCCTCACCCGTGGTTTACACATGTCCTAATGTTCACGAGATTGCAGCTGTTTGTACAGTAGTTTGTACAGTAAAGGAATAGTTTGGCTGAAAATAAACCCTGTGTCGTTTAAACACGTATGCTGTTGTTTTTCTGTGCCGTTATTATTGCTTTTATTGACTTCATGATGCTTTATATAGTTACATTCATCACACAGCACTGTATATAAAGTTGTGTGACTATACATATATACTATATAGCAAATCTCAAATATGAAATTTGTTTATATTGTTGCAAAATTAACATTTATGCATTTAGCTGAAACTTTTATCTTAAGCGACTTACAAACAAGAAACAAAAGCAACATGTAAAAGAGCCAACTATATTTATAATATACATATTATACAATGTAAACTTTATTATTGCTCTGCTCTTTATATATGCAGGTGAAACTCGAAAAATTCGAATATAGGGTGCAAAAGTTCATTTATTTCAGTAATTCAACTTAAAAGCTGAAACTAATATATTATATAGACTCATTATATGCAAAGTGAGATATTTCAAGCCTTTATTTGTTATAATTGTGATGATTATGGCTTACAGCTTATGAAAACCCCAAATTCAAAATTAGAATATTGTGCAAAGCTTTTCATATCTGTAAGGCATAATCATCACAATTATAACAAATAAAGGCTTGAAATATCTCACTTTGCATGTAATGAGTCTATATAATATATTAGTTTCAGCTTTTAAGTTGAATTACTGAAATAAATGAACTTTTGCACCATATTCTCATTTTTAGAGTTTCATGTGTGTATATATATATATATGTCCATCTCTATCCGCATACATGTATGATAAACTATACTATATTGTATATCTCAATTGCTTGATTGTTTATATTGTCACAAAATATCACTATATTTTCATCAAGCTCGTCATCTGCTTATAAAGAGATATATATTTTTTGATGATACAAGTAATCAAGCAGTTATATATATATATATTCATCTGATAAATGTGACTATAAGGCATGAAGATATTAAGGTATTATAAATATCAATATCATGATTTTCTACTTTGAATCGATGTGTTGTGAAAAGTGTTATAGAAATAAATGTTTGTAATAATTACTGCATGTATTTAAAAATACAACAGCATACAGGTTTGAACTGACATGAGTATATTTTCATATATGGATGAATTATTCCTTCACAATATGTTTGTGTGTGTGTGTGTGTGTGTGTGTGTGTGTGTGTGTGTGTGTGTGTGTGTGTGTGTGTGTGTGTGTGTGTGTGTGTGAGTCAGTGAGTGAGTCAGTGAGTGAGTCAGTGAGTGAGTCAGTGAGTGAGTCAGTGAGTGAGTGAGTGAGTGAGTGAGTCAGTGAGTGAGTCAGTGAGTGAGTGAGTCAGTGAGTGAGTGAGTCAGTGAGTGAGTCAGTGAGTGAGTGAGTGAGTCAGTGAGTGAGTCAGTGAGTGTGTGAGTGAGTCAGTGAGTGAGTCAGTCAGTGAGTCAGTCAGTGAGTGAGTGAGTGAGTGAGTGAGTGAGTGAGTCAGTGATTCAGTCAGTCAGGGAGTGAGTCAGTGAGTGAGTGAGTCAGTGATTCAGTCAGTCAGGGAGTGAGTGAGTGAGTCAGTGATTCAGTCAGTCAGTCAGTCAGTCAGTCAGTGAGTGTGTGTGAGTGAGTCAGTGAGTGAGTGAGTCAGTGAGTCAGTGAGTGAGTGAGTGAGTGAGTCAGTGAGTGAGTCAGTGAGTGAGTCAGTGAGTGAGTCAGTGAGTCAGTGAGTGAGTGAGTGAGTCAGTGAGTGCATGTATTGAGTCAGTCAGGGAGTGAGTCAGTGAGTGAGTGAGTCAGTGATTCAGTCAGTCAGGGAGTGAGTCAGTGAGTGAATCAGTGAGTGAGTGAGTGTGTGAGTCTGAGTCAGTGAGTGAGTGAGTGAGTGAGTCAGTCAGTCAGTGAGTCAGTGAGTGAGTGAGTCAGTCAGTGAGTGTGTGTGAGTGAGTCAGTCAGTGAGTGTGTGTGAGTGAGTCAGTGAGTGAATCAGTGAGTGAGTCAGTGAGTCAGTGATTCAGTCAGTCAGGGAGTGAGTGAGTCAGTGAGTGAGTGAGTCAGTGATTCAGTCAGTCAGGGAGTGAGTCAGTGAGTGAATCAGTGAGTGAGTGAGTGTGTGAGTCTGAGTCAGTGAGTGAGTGAGTGAGTCAGTCAGTCAGTGAGTGACTGTGAGTGAGTGAGTGAGTCAGTGAGTGAGTGAGTCAGTGATTCAGTCAGTCAGGGAGTGAGTGAGTCAGTGAGTGAGTGAGTCAGTGATTCAGTCAGTCAGGGAGTGAGTCAGTGAGTGAGTGAGTGAGTCAGTGAGTGAGTGTGTGTGTGTGAGTGAATCAGTGTGTGAGTGAGTTTGTGTGTGTGTGTGTGAGTGAGTGAGTGTGTGTGTGTGTCTTCATACACTGCTGCTGCTCTGTCTCTGTTATTAACTCTCACTGGCCGTCACTCGACTCTCTTCCAGATCCATTATCTAATGATCCTCTCTGCAAACTGGGCTTATCTAAAGGACGCCAGTCACACACACGCGTATCAGGACATCAAACTGAAGGAGGAGCGCGAGCTGCAGGACATCCAGGCGCGCTCCAAAGAGTGTGTGAACTCCTACTCCTGAGGACACACACACACACACTCACTCACTCATACACACACACACACTGTAGGAGGAGTGCGAGCTGCAGGACATCCAGTGCAAACTCCTACTCCTGAGGACACACACACACTCACTAACACATACTAATGCATCTGTTGCTTTCCTGTCCACTAACGCCGACTGCACACTCTCTCACACACACACACACACGTCTCTGTTCATCCTCTGGTTCTGTCCGGTTCCCACTGATCTGAGATCAGCGACGGCTGGTTGAAGTTTGAAATGTTGCACTATTGGAAACGCAAATCAGATTCTGTTCGTAACGAGATTGTAAACATGAATATGAGTGAAGTGCATTAATCTCCCATGATCCCGCTGGGACGCTTCTCTTCTGCGTCTGCATTATATGCATGTTGCAAAATTTGTAAAAGATTCATTATTTTTGGAAACTATTGCATTTAAAATCCAATTTTGTGCAAAAATGCCTTCATCTTTGCACATGTTTTGAGTGCACTGCATTGTGGGATACTGTCCCACTGCATGTTCTGCGTTTGGATTAATGATGATGACCACTGAAACATTCACACTACCTCACATATACCACTCTATTATTCAGCTCAAAACTTAGGCCATAATTCTGTGATAATTCCCAGAGTTCATTTTCTATCGGCTGTGAGTGACGTCACAGAACTGAACCTGCTTTATTATGAATAGAAGTATAATGTTTATACTGTCCCCAAAAGAAACGCACGAATGAATGATGAAAACATGACAAATTAAAGAAATGATATTTTACATGTAATGCTTATGAAGCGTTTAATGCATTAGAAAGGCTTTATTTCTATTGTAATTCTCATTTTCAGTGGTGATTCTCATTATTATTGTGATGCAACTTACAGAAAATCTTGCCATGATTGTCTAAATACTTTTTTTTTTTTTGTATGAAAGCGATGAGATTTGGAGGGTTTGATTTCAAATTTGCCCAATTTTCTTTGTAAAGTAAGTAACTTTCTCATTTTCCGTTTAGTTTTTTTGTTAATAGTGCATTTAAAACCTCATATGAACTTTTATTTTTGGGAGGATAAAACTAAAGTAATGCAATAGTAAACCCCGCCGGCGCTCTTCTTTATTGACACGTGTAGGCAGCACTTGCCAGATTTTAACGTTATAATGTGCTTTCTTTTCTTTTTTAGTTTTAGTCCATGTAATGTTTATTGCTGTTAATTTGATTCGTATATGAATTCTGTATAATATCGCTTTTTAACCATTATTCTTAGGGGGATTCCCTTAGTTTTTACTTAAACTGCTATTTTGGATTTAAAATAAAAAAATTAAAAAGGCAAAAAATAAATGACAAAGCGCAGAGATATAATGCACCGGCCTCTTTTATGAGCCTGGAGTTTGGACTCGCCCAGAAGGTTTTCATGTATGATGTGTATCTGTGTTTTGAATGCTTTAATCGCTGGTGATACTCAGTGGCGCTGTACGTTCAGCTGGATTTGTGAATATTAACAACTGTCCAACACTGATGATTTGATGTCGTGTTCAGCCCGTCAAACAAGCTGTTGGATTTTATACAAAAATAAACAAAATATAATAAAAGTCTCTTCCTGGATCTCAACGAGCCTTCTTTCAGATCAGTGTCTTTACAACTACCTTTATTTCTACAGCGCTTTATACAGTCAGCTTCACAGACTTAATGATGCAAACACCATCAAATATGACAATAATTCATATTCTGCTGTAAATAGTCATTATTCAGTCTCAGTGTATTACAGGTGAAACTCAAAAAATGAGAATATGCTGCAAAAGTTCATTTATTTCAGTAATTCAACTTAAAAGGTGAAACTAATATATATTATATAGACTCATTACATGCAAAGTGAGATATTTCAAGCCTTTATTTGTTATAATTTTGATGATTATGGCTTACAGATATGAAAGCCTTTTCACAATATTCTAATTTTGAATTTGGGGTTTTCATAAGCTGTAATCCATAATCATCACAATTATAACAAATAAAGGCTTGAAATATCTCACTTTACATGTAATGAGTCTATATAATATATTAGTTTCAGCTTTTAAGTTGAATTACTTTAATTGCAGCATATTCTCATTTTTAGAGTTTCTCCTGTATTAACAGCTCTTCTGGACCGTCAGAATTGAAATACAACAACAGAACTTTAAACATTTCACATTTATTCCGTGTCTCAATAAAAACCACATTCCCACAGAAGCGTGTCTCTATAAACATGAGCAGAGACGCGGCGAGCGCTGGCTGTGTTTCACCAGAAGTCGTCGTCCGGCTCGGTGTGTGACGTCACGCCGGCGCTGAGGAGCGAGAGAAGGGTTAGCATGAAGCGTTCCTCACAGGAGAACAGTGGACACACACACACTGACCTCACCTGTGCTCGTCGCTGACCGACGGGAGAACCTCCTCTTGACTTTGCTTTTCTGATGCCTCTTTCTTTGGACTCTGAAAGTTCATTAAAAGAGTCAAACATATCTCACCTTACAATCAAAAGAAATTACATTATACTTTGGTTATGAGAAAATGAAACCATTTAAAGTCCCCCTGTGGTGAAACTCCAGCGTTTAATGTTGTTTATGTGTCTATGTGGTGTTTTTAATCTGCTTTAAGACACACCATGTGTAAGTTCATAAGTCGACAGCATTGCTGAGTATTTCCTCCTTAAAACTGCAGTGAACCAAAGACAGTCTCAAAAACACGGTTTGAAATCGCTGGTGTTTCTGACGTCACAAACGACCTTGTAACCAATCAGATCAACGTGTGATCGTCAACCAGTGGATCTCTGAGCTGAGGGAGTGAGTGGAGGCGGGGTTCATTTGCATATTCATAGAACCGTGCATACTAAATGAGGCGAGGTGTCGAGTTACATTCAAGATATTTTAAGAAGAATTTAAGGAAAAAATGCTTAAATATGTAATTTCACTGATCAAAGATGAGTTTTAAGGGATATGATTATTGACTACAGGAGGACTTTAAAGAAATCTTTTGCATTACAGTAGAGAAGTTGTGTGTGGAAACCCCTCCTGAACCTCATGGTCTGGATGTAAGTGTTTCTGTGAGTGTGTGTTCATGAACCTGATCCTGCATGAGCATCATCATGTACTTCTGAAGCGGATTGGCCACATCAGCCTCTCCTCCAATCGCTGAGGTCGCTAATGTCACGTGACCTTCTCTCTCGTCTTCTGCTTGTTTCTCATCTTGATCCTCCTGAAAGTAGATCAGAAATCATCAGTCAAAGTACAAACAGCCACTATGATTTTAACTCATCCTTCCCTCAAAATGACCCGAAGCCTTAAAATTACACTTACTTTTTTTTTAGCCAATTTTTTGGGGAGATTTTTTGTTATTTTGTATTTTATTTACCTTTAAATTACTAGATTTGATCAATAGATAATAAATAAATAGTAATTTAAGCACATTCTTCACATTCTTTCAACTTAAATTCAAAATAACACAATTTCATGCATAACCCTTTTAATTCAGCTCTAAATATCTTACATTGGGAGTCTTTAACCTCTTGTGGAATAATAATAATAACACATGATATTTCCTGACTCTAGATGGGCTTATAGCTCTATATGGAGCAGAGGAGCTGTTCCCCTGGGTCCTAAAGCCAGTGAACTTCAGTGTGCTTTCAGACCATGGGCGTCGGAAGCAAAATACAAGTGGGTGGGTCATCCTCCAGGAGTAGATTAGGGGTGTTCCCGAAGACAAATACCTTATCTAAAATATCTATGCAATAATGAGTGAAGTGAATGAGTGAGAGTAGAAATGAAACGAGCGCAAATCCATCTATGCGTGCATCTCTCAGAAACCACAGCTTGGCAAGAGTAATATCAACTCAAATAGGATATTGCATGTATATTTAAATGATTTAAGCTTTGTTCAATATACAGGCTACTCGAATGAATTGAATAAGCACAGCACGAGCACAAATCAAACAGCGCGTTAATTCCCGTCTCGCGCTACTCCGCCTCAGCAACCAGTTCTAATAGCCTATAATCAAAGATTCATATACATTAATTACTACATGATGTGTCTATTTAAATGTTTCAAACTTCGTATGATGTCCCATAGGAACCTGAGACTCGCGCTTAGGACATGATGACAGTTCTCCGTTACGGACGTGACCGCTCTGGGAAAGCGGCACTAAAGATGCTTTAAAACTTTCACAGAGACCTCAAACAGAAGACAAAGCCTTTCTTTAAAGTGAATTTCGTTTTGTATTAATTGTATCTTAATTTTAATCAATGTTTCATCAACCAATTGCCTGGATTTAATAAATAAGAAGTAAATATAGCAGAGATAAATCACGACACGGAGGCGCCGGCGCGTGAACTGGAGCCCGTCTCATAAATGAACCGAAACTCAGCGTAGCCTAAAAGTATTTAGGTGGCCTACTTGCCTCACAGAGCTGAAAAAATATATATATAGAGAAAGCTTTTAAACAGAACAATTCAAAGCGAAAGAAAACAGACTGCTCTCTGCGTATGAAATGTGCATTTCTCTCTGGCGCGTTCACTACTGCAAAGATCACAGTCAGCATCGTCACCTTCATCTTTGCAGCCGACACACACAAAAACACTTGTTTATTAATAAACAATTAAAATGTCTCCTTGCTATGTTTGACATATTCATAATCATTACTTTTGCCGGTTCTTTGTGACAGCTTTTAGGTGCTTTATTGGCAGCGCCACCCTTACATGTTACTGAACGTGTCACGCCGCGTCACCACACCCCCAAAAGCATAGAGGTTTGTATTGAATTGTGCGTCAAAAATCGTGATACGAACCGAATCGTGGGTTTGGTGTATCGTTACACAGCCCTATCAAATATAGTAACGCGCCACATTTTTTGGCGGTAACGGCGTTATTAAGATGGGAATAATCAATTAAGTGACTGAAAAGTGAGCAGACATATGCGCTGAATTAGAGACAGGAAAGGTGAGTGGGTCCAATATCATTGGTCTTAAAAAGTGGGTGGGTCTTGTCCCACACATATACAATGGTTCCGACGCCCATGATTCAGACACGCGTGTAGACATTATACAAACATTTTTCGGTAAAGTTTTAGTCTGAATTTTCAACATTTTTAGGTTTTTCTGTGTGAACTGAAGCATTCCAGTCATTCCTAAGGGGGTCAGATTGACCCGAGGGAACGGATTTGTTACTTTTTAAAATTTCAACCACAAAACTCCTCGAATCCATTACATTTTTGTGTGTGTATTCGTGGTTGAAGTGCGACTAAAGTCCCAGGGTCTCGGACCCTCTGATGAACACTCAATACATTTAAAAAAGAAAGTTTGGGGTCAAAATGACGAGTGTTGCAGTCACCGTCTCCTGCTCGAGTCTCTCCATCTCTCTCTCCTCTCTCTCCTGTGCCTCCTCTCTCTCCCTCCATCTCTTCTCCTCTTTACTCTTCCTCTCCTCCTCCCAGCGCTCCTCCTCTTCCTCACGCCGGTCTCTCCTTACGACGGATGACGATGATGATGATGACTGAACATCTGAAAAACACCACACTAGTTTATATAGATTGATTTCAAAACTCAAAGAGGAAGAGAGACTGAAGATCCGCCTCACCCTGATGATCCTGGAGTCTCTCGAGGAAACACTCCTGATCGGTGGACACAACTGCACACACAGGCACACGAACACACACACACGAACACACACACACAGGCACACGAACACACACACACACACGCTTTCAAAGGCTGCTGAATAGTGCAGGTTATTTAACTTTAAAAGTCATTTGTTGTAATTTGATCTTGTGAAGATGTTTAGCAGATGAAATATGGCAGAAGGTCAAGACTAATCATATTCACTACTGGTCAAAAGATTGGGGTCGGTATGATTTGTGTCTCTTCTGCTCATCAAAGCTGCATTTATTTGATCATAAATACAGTAAAAGAGTGTAATATTACTCCAGTGTAAATCAGCTGTTCTCTATGTGAATATATAGTAAAGTGTAATTTATTCCTGTGATCAAAGCTGTATTTTCAGCATCATTACTCCAGTCTTCAGTGTCACATGATCCTTCAGAAATCACTCTAATATGAGGATCTGATGCTCAAGACACATTTATGATTATTATCAGTGTTGAAAACAGCTTATATTTCTGTGGAAACTGTCATACATTTTATTTTTTAGGATTCTTTGATGAATAAAAATAATTTATTTGAAATAGAATCTTTTATAACATCATAAATGTCTTTACTGTCACTTTTGACCAATTTAATGCGTCCTTGATGAATAAAAGTATGAGTTTCTTTATAAAAAATCTCACTGAGCCCAATCTTCTGAACATGAGTGTATCTTCACTATAGGCCAGGGAAACTCCCTGATGATGAATGCTCACGTTGAACGGGGTCGGTGAGATCGTGAAGCGTGATCTTCTCCGGTTGAGGAGACGACTCCTGGGATGAGCTGGATATGATTTCCTGCAGTTTGGGAGGACTGTGATTCAAAACAAATAGAATTGTCCATTAGTTTTCATAAAATCATGTCATTAGACACTGTAATATTCCATAAAAAAATCAACAACTGTCTCTTTTGATTTGATGGTGTCTTTAAGCATGTGTGTGGCGTGTCCTTAAGTGTGTGTATGGCGTGTGTGTTGGCGTGTCCTTAAATGTGTGTGTTCTGTGACTTTAAGCGTGTATGTTGGCGTGTCCTTTAAGCGTGTGTATTCCGTGTGTGTTGGCGTGTCTTTAAGCGTGTGCGTTGCTGTGTCCTTAAGCATGTGTATGGCGTGTCTGTTGGCGTGTCCTTTAGCTTGTGGCGTGTGTGTTGCTGTGTCCTTAAGCATGTGTGTTGAGTGTCTTTAAGCGTGTGTATTCCGTGTGTGTTGGCGTGTCTTTAAGCGTGTGTGTTGCTGTGTCCTTAAGCATGTGTATGGCGTGTGTGTTGGCGTGTCCTTAAGCTTGTGGCGTGTGTGTTGCTGTGTCCTTAAGCATGTGTGTTGCTGTGTCCTTAAGCATGTGTGTTGAGTGTCTTTAAGCGTGTGTATTCCGTGTGTGTTGGCGTGTCTTTAAGCGTGTGTGTTGCTGTGTCCTTAAGCATGTGTATGGCGTGTGTGTTGGCGTGTCCTTAAGCTTGTGGCGTGTGTGTTGCTGTGTCCTTAAGCATGTGTGTTGCTGTGTCCTTAAGCATGTGTATGGCGTGTCTGTTGGCGTGTCCTTTAGCTTGTGGCGTGTGTGTTGCTGTGTCCTTAAGCATGTGTATGGCGTGTCTGTTGGCGTGTCCTTAAGCTTGTGGCGTGTGTGTTGCTGTGTCCTTAAGCATGTGTGTTGCGTGTCTTTAAGCGTGTGTATTCCGTGTGTGTTGGCGTGTCTTTAAGCGTGTGTGTTGCTGTGTCCTTAAGCATGTGTATGGCGTGTCTGTTGGCGTGTCCTTAAGCTTGTGGCGTGTCTGTTGGCGTGTCCTTAAGCATGTGTGTTGCGTGTCTTTAAGCGTGTGTATTCCGTGTGTGTTGGCGTGTCTTTAAGCGTGTGTGTTGCTGTGTCCTTAAGCATGTGTATGGCGTGTGTGTTGGCGTGTCCTTAAGCTTGTGTGTTGGCGTGTCCTTTAAGCGTGTGTATTCCGTGTAGGGATGGGCGATATGGCCTAAAATCCATATTGCGATATACATTGCAGCCTCTTGCGATAACGATATATATCACGATATATAAATTATAATAGAACCATTTCAGAACAGGTTAGACAGACCATAAGGAAAGCCAAACTGCAAAATGTATTTGTTTTAAAAACATTTATTATGCAAAACTGTAATTATAGAACATAATGTTGCAGATGAATAAAATTCAAGTACACTAGCTGCAGAGACTTTAACAAAGAAAAAGCTTAAAGTATTGGGTTTATTTCCTGTAGTGCACGCCTGTTTCACACATACTCCGTGTGCAGTGCAGTGCGGTGGTGTGCGGCGCAGGAGCAGCACGCGCTATTGTGCTTTCACATATGGTGCGTTTGCAGTGCGCAACTGATCTACTGCTGTACGACAAACAACATTAATCCTCTATTTTTTATTTCAAATCACTATTTATATTATTAGTGTCTTTTATAAAATAATATAAAAGAGTTTCAGCATTGTGATTCTATTTGTACACAGACAGTAGGCTAGTAATACGCACTCTTTCACAAGACTTAGGCTATTCACGTTTAAATTTATAACACTTAAAAACGTATTATTACTTCTATATAGATTTATATATTAAGTTGCTCAAGCAAGTGGCAAAACATTTATACATTTATGTTAACATCGCAAACATTTTAAATTAAAACATACATAATTGACATAAACAGCTCTCTCATACCTTTTCTTTTGCATTTAAATCTTTTTTTACAAGAAATATTGCAATCACAAAGAACTTGTTTCACGAAGAGACAAGTGCATCCATTATGTCGCGTTGTTGAGGTAATGTTACTGTGTAGTTTCCTTGCTTTAATTACCCCGAGCTTAAAGTTAAAAAGAAAATGATTGAAAAATAGTATAATTTTTTTTTTTACTATATTAGTAAAAAGATTACTATATTTTCATATCAATCCGTGTTCATTTTGACCATGAACCATGCGCTGTCACTTTAATTCAGCACGTGCAGCACAGCAGAAATAGACTGTGTGGAAACGATCACTGCACTGCTGTATACACACACCGCTCCTGGAACGCATTGCCGCACCGCATCCGCGTGCAGGCCTGTTAACATGGGTACGGAAAAAATACATAGCCTACATATGCACTGCAAACGGAATATGTGTGAAACAGGCGTTAGCCAGAACTGTTGCCCATACAGAGTATAGTTTGCTGCTGCTCGTCGGACGGCTTAAATCCGAACAAATGGATGTTGCACCGGTTTTTTTTACCAGCTCCTCCGTTTCGCTTTCAGCCATGTTTACTCAAGATGTCGAATACGATGATGCGTTGCAGCCATTTGCAGCTCGTGGCTCTAAATTTTGCGGGTAGATTGCGTCAACATGCATTATCGCGATAGTGCAATATAATTAAAATCCATATCGTAGACCAATTTTGTATCGTTTATATTGCATATCGTTTATATCGCCCATTACTAATTCCGTGTGTGTTGGCGTGTCCTAAAGCTTGTGTGTTGGCGTGTCCTTTAAGCGTGTGTATTCCGTGTGTGTTGGCGTGTCCTTAAGCGTGTGTGTTGGCGTGTCCTTAAGCGTGTGTGTTGGCGTGTCCTTAAGTGTGTGTGTTGGCGTGTCCTTTAAGCGTGTGGCGTGTCTGTTGGCGTGTCCTTAAGCGTGTGTTTTGGCGTGTCCTTAAGCGTGTGTGTTGGCGTGTCCTTAAGCGTGTGTGTTGGCGTGTCCTTAAGCGTGTGTGTTGGCGTGTCCTTTAAGCGTGTGGCGTGTCTGTTGGCGTGTCCTTAAGTGTGTGTGTTGGCGTGTCCTAAAGCTTGTGTGTTGGCGTGTCCTTAAGTGTGTGTGTTGGCGTGTCCTAAAGCTTGTGTGTTGGCGTGTCCTTTAAGTGTGTGTATTCCGTGTGTTGGCGTGTCCTTAAGCGTGTGTTTTGGCGTGTCCTTAAGCGTGTGTGTTGGCGTGTCCTTAAGCGTGTGTGTTGGCGTGTCCTTAAGCGTGTGTGTTGGCGTGTCCTTTAAGCGTGTGGCGTGTCTGTTGGCGTGTCCTTAAGTGTGTGTGTTGGCGTGTCCTTTAAGCGTGTGTATTCCGTGTGTGTTGGCGTGTCCTTTAAGCGTGTGGCGTGTCTGTTGGCGTGTCCTTAAGTGTGTGTGTTGGCGTGTCCTTAAGCTTGTGTGTTGGCGTGTCCTTTAAGCGTGTGGCGTGTCTGTTGGCGTGTCCTTAAGTGTGTGTGTTGGCGTGTCCTTTAAGCGTGTGTATTCCGTGTGTGTTGGCGTGTCCTTTAAGCGTGTGGCGTGTCTGTTGGCGTGTCCTTAAGCGTGTGTGTTGGCGTGTCCTTAAGCGTGTGTGTTGGCGTGTCCTTTAAGCGTGTGGCGTGTGTGTTGGCGTGTCCTTAAGCGTGTGTGTTGGCGTGTCCTTTAAGCGTGTGTATTCCGTGTGTGTTGGCGTGTCCTTTAAGCGTGTGGCGTGTCTGTTGGCGTGTCCTTAAGTGTGTGTGTTGGCGTGTCCTTTAAGCGTGTGGCGTGTGTGTTGGCGTGTCCTTAAGCGTGTGTGTTGGCGTGTCCTTTAAGCGTGTGGCGTGTGTGTTGGCGTGTCCTTAAGCGTGTGTGTTGGCGTGTCCTTTAAGCGTGTGGCGTGTGTGTTGGCGTGTCCTTAAGTGTGTGTGTTGGCGTGTCCTTTAAGCGTGTGGCGTGTGTGTTGGCGTGTCCTTAAGCGTGTGTGTTGGCGTGTCCTTTAAGCGTGTGGCGTGTGTGTTGATGTGTCCTTAAGCATGTGTGTTGCGTGTCTTTAAGCGTGTGTATTCCGTGTGTGTTGGCGTGTCTTTAAGCGTGTGTGTTGGCCTGTCCTTAAGCGTGTGTGTTGGCGTGTCCTTAAGCGTGTGTGTTGGCCTGTCCTTAAGCGTGTGTGTTGGCGTGTCCTTAAGCGTGTGTGTTGGCGTGTCCTTAAGCGTGTGTGTTGGCGTGTCCTTAAGCGTGTGTGTTGGCGTGTCCTTAAGCGTGTGGCGTGTCTGTTGGCGTGTCCTTAAGCGTGTGTGTTGGCGTGTCCTTAAGCGTGTGTGTTGGCGTGTCCTTAAGCGTGTGTGTTGGCGTGTCCTTTAAGCGTGTGGCGTGTCTGTTGGCGTGTCCTTAAGTGTGTGTGTTGGCGTGTCCTAAAGCTTGTGTGTTGGCGTGTCCTTAAGTGTGTGTGTTGGCGTGTCCTTTAAGCGTGTGTATTCCGTGTGTGTTGGCGTGTCCTTTAAGCGTGTGGCGTGTCTGTTGGCGTGTCCTTAAGTGTGTGTGTTGGCGTGTCCTTTAAGCGTGTGGCGTGTGTGTTGGCGTGTCCTTAAGCGTGTGTGTTGGCGTGTCCTTTAAGCGTGTGTATTCCGTGTGTGTTGGCGTGTCCTTAAGCGTGTGTGTTGGCGTGTCCTTTAAGCGTGTGTATTCCGTGTGTGTTGGCGTGTCCTTTAAGCGTGTGGCGTGTCTGTTGGCGTGTCCTTAAGTGTGTGTGTTGGCGTGTCCTTTAAGCGTGTGGCGTGTGTGTTGGCGTGTCCTTAAGCGTGTGTGTTGGCGTGTCCTTTAAGCGTGTGTATTCCGTGTGTGTTGGCGTGTCCTTTAAGCGTGTGGCGTGTCTGTTGGCGTGTCCTTAAGTGTGTGTGTTGGCGTGTCCTTTAAGCGTGTGGCGTGTGTGTTGGCGTGTCCTTAAGCGTGTGTGTTGGCGTGTCCTTTAAGCGTGTGGCGTGTGTGTTGGCGTGTCCTTAAGCGTGTGTGTTGGCGTGTCCTTTAAGCGTGTGGCGTGTGTGTTGGCGTGTCCTTAAGTGTGTGTGTTGGCGTGTCCTTTAAGCGTGTGGCGTGTGTGTTGGCGTGTCCTTAAGCGTGTGTGTTGGCGTGTCCTTTAAGCGTGTGGCGTGTGTGTTGATGTGTCCTTAAGCATGTGTGTTGCGTGTCTTTAAGCGTGTGTATTCCGTGTGTGTTGGCGTGTCTTTAAGCGTGTGTGTTGGCCTGTCCTTAAGCGTGTGTGTTGGCGTGTCCTTAAGCGTGTGTGTTGGCCTGTCCTTAAGCGTGTGTGTTGGCGTGTCCTTAAGCGTGTGTGTTGGCGTGTCCTTAAGCGTGTGTGTTGGCGTGTCCTTAAGCGTGTGTGTTGGCGTGTCCTTAAGCGTGTGGCGTGTCTGTTGGCGTGTCCTTAAGCGTGTGTGTTGGCGTGTCCTTAAGCGTGTGTGTTGGCGTGTCCTTAAGCGTGTGTGTTGGCGTGTCCTTTAAGCGTGTGGCGTGTCTGTTGGCGTGTCCTTAAGTGTGTGTGTTGGCGTGTCCTAAAGCTTGTGTGTTGGCGTGTCCTTAAGTGTGTGTGTTGGCGTGTCCTAAAGCTTGTGTGTTGGCGTGTCCTTTAAGCGTGTGTATTCCGTGTGTGTTGGCGTGTCCTTAAGCGTGTGTTTTGGCGTGTCCTTAAGCGTGTGTGTTGGCGTGTCCTTAAGCGTGTGTGTTGGCGTGTCCTTAAGCGTGTGTGTTGGCGTGTCCTTTAAGCGTGTGGCGTGTCTGTTGGCGTGTCCTTAAGTGTGTGTGTTGGCGTGTCCTTTAAGCGTGTGTATTCCGTGTGTGTTGGCGTGTCCTTTAAGCGTGTGGCGTGTCTGTTGGCGTGTCCTTAAGTGTGTGTGTTGGCGTGTCCTTTAAGCGTGTGGCGTGTGTGTTGGCGTGTCCTTAAGCGTGTGTGTTGGCGTGTCCTTTAAGCGTGTGTATTCCGTGTGTGTTGGCGTGTCCTTTAAGCGTGTGGCGTGTCTGTTGGCATGTCCTTAAGTGTGTGTGTTGGCGTGTCCTTTAAGCGTGTGGCGTGTGTGTTGGCGTGTCCTTAAGCGTGTGTGTTGGCGTGTCCTTTAAGCGTGTGGCGTGTGTGTTGGCGTGTCCTTAAGCGTGTGTGTTGGCGTGTCCTTTAAGCGTGTGTGTTGGCGTGTCCTTAAGTGTGTGTGTTGGCGTGTCCTTTAAGCGTGTGGCGTGTGTGTTGGCGTGTCCTTAAGCGTGTGTGTTGGCGTGTCCTTTAAGCGTGTGGCGTGTGTGTTGATGTGTCCTTAAGCATGTGTGTTGCGTGTCTTTAAGCGTGTGTATTCCGTGTGTGTTGGCGTGTCTTTAAGCGTGTGTGTTGGCCTGTCCTTAAGCGTGTGTGTTGGCGTGTCCTTAAGCGTGTGTGTTGGCCTGTCCTTAAGCGTGTGTGTTGGCGTGTCCTTAAGCGTGTGTGTTGGCGTGTCCTTAAGCGTGTGTGTTGGCGTGTCCTTAAGCGTGTGTGTTGGCGTGTCCTTAAGCGTGTGTGTTGGCCTGTCCTTAAGCGTGTGTGTTGGCCTGTCCTTAAGCGTGTGTGTTGGCGTGTCCTTAAGCATGTGTGTTGGCGTGTCCTTAAGCGTGTGTGTTGGCGTGTCCTTAAGCGCGTGTGTGTTGGCGTGTCCTTAAGCGTGTGTGTTGGCGTGTCCTTTAAGCGTGTGTATTCCGTGTGTGTTGCTGTGTCCTTAAGCATGTGTATGGCGTGTGTGTTGGCGTATCTAAGCTTGTGGCATGTGTGTTGATGTGTCCTTAAGCATGTGTGTGTGGCGTGTGTGTTGGCGTGTCCTTAAGCGTGTGTATGGTGTGTGTGTTGGCGTCTTTAAGCGTGTGTTCCGTGTCTTAAAGAGTGTTGGCGTGACTTTAAGCGTGTGGCGTGTGTGTTAATGTGTCCTTAAGCGTGTGTGTTGCGTGTCTTTAAGCGTGTGGAGTGTTTTGGAGTTACTTTAAGCGTGTGTGTGGCGTGTCCTTAAGCATGTGTGTGACGTGTCTTTAAGTGTGTGTGCGTGTGTGTGTGTGTGGTGTGTGTGTGTGTGTGTGTGTGCACCTGCAGCTGTGGCGTGTGGTGCTCTTCATCCTGGGGCTGCTGGGACTGAGGTGTGTGCGTGTGTGTGTGTGTGGTGTGTGTGTGTGTGTGTGTGTGCACCTGCAGCTGTGGCGTGTGGTGCTCTTCATCCTGGGGCTGCTGGGACTGAGGTGTGTGCGTGTGTGTGTGTGTGGTGTGTGTGGTGTGTGTGTGTGTGTGTGCACCTGCAGCTGTGGCGTGTGGTGCTCTTCATCCTGGGGCTGCTGGGACTGAGGTGTGTGCGTGTGTGTGTGTGTGTGGTGTGTGTGTGTGTGTGTGTGTGTGTGTGCACCTGCAGCTGTGGCGTGTGGTGCTCTTCATCCTGGGGCTGCTGGGACTGAGGTGTGTGTGTGTGAAGTCTCTGGATGAGCTCATTTCTCCAGCAGGGATCGGGGAGATCTCTCTCTCTCTCTCTGCAAACACCAGTGGAGCTCGCCTGCTGTCAGAGATCCTACTCCGCTCTGATCAACACACACACACACACACACCAGCAAAG